AAATTAATTTATGCGAAAAAATCTACTTTGAAAAAATTGTCATTTTCGGTCCTTTTTCCAGCACCTAGCCCATATATTTAAATATATCGGCTCATTCGACTTTATTTATATCCCTAATTAAATATGGCACACTTAAATGCTTAATAAATATGGGTTTAATGTGCGCTCCGTCCTTTTCGCACATTAATTTTAAACACCATATATATATATATATATATTGCTTAATAATGATAACTAAAGTTAAATAAATATTTATGACGATATGACACTTTTAATTCAATAATGCTTCTGAAGCATCCATGTTAAAATCGTATATAACGTGATCATCTACGGAATTTTAGATCTTGTTATACTGATTTGGGTGTACATTTATGCATAGCTTTAAACTACTGAACTAGGCAAAGTGTATGAGCTTGCGCATCATTTGATTAAATATGAGGTGTTATAGTTTATCAACTTTATTGCAATGATCTATTGTTATTTGGATCTATATACAAGTTGCGTCGATTCTATAACATCTTAAAGAGCTTGTTACTTTTTTTATATCTGTATGTAATTGATTTTCTTTTCATTATAGGAACTGCTCACTCTCATATATATAAACTTAGAACCTATGATCTTATGTTGGAATTTTGTGCTTATTATATACAAGTAACCTGCTATGACTTGTTTTTCGTTACAACGTACGTGGTACAGTACGTAAGTGAATACATAACATGTAGATACTCCTGTTTTGGGTTGTTCATTTAGCGGCTCGTTATCTCTAAAATATTAGAAATCTTTTTTTCAATTGCTTCTTATCTTGATATAGATATGTGTATGGGAAAACTAGAAATTCTATCAATATAAAATATTTATCATCATTAATTTCGTATAAAGAATATTTCAATTTGGGAAATAAAGAATTCTACTATAAAATTTAAACAATACTGTAATAAAGCAATTTCATTTTCTAAATTTATATTTTCTTTATAAATGTATGTGTCAATTATAGTTGTTAGGAAAACAATTGGATTGTACATGCGTACGCAAGTACGTATGTACACATGTACTACTACAATTAAATTTCATATATTTTCATTGTCAAAAAAGAAAATTCTATCTTAAAGATCAAACTTTATTAAAAAAAAAAAAATCAAAATTATTGAATACCCAATGTTATTCTAATCTAATTTCCATTATTGACTGAAAAAGAATGTATTTGGATGATAGAAATATTTAAAATAATAAAAATTTACAAGATAATAATATTTCAATACGTAATACAGTGACACTCCCATATAATCACATAATCAGACCTGTAAAAAGTGTTCTTATATAAGGAATGTTCTTAGAACGTGCTTCTATGAAGAATTACTTTTATATATTTAATAGGGTTATGTGCTTATATAGGAGTGCGATTGTATCATTTATAATAATAATAATAACTATAAAATAATAATGAATGCATAAAAAAATAAATGTATAGAATAGTATTTAACTAAATTATAGAATAATAAAAGAAAAAAGAGCATAATAACTTAATTGCATAATTTGTTTAGAAAGTTGGTAAAATCTTAGAACATCCACTTCCGTTTTAATTAAAAGTAAGCGAATCAACAATGTCATAATAATAAATGTCGTAATAATTTTCTGGACTTAAATTGTATATGTGTTGGTTATAATAATCATAATCCGAATTATATGATTCCGTAACTGAGGAATAGATTAAACGATCATCAAAAGATAACGGTACAGAAACATAATCATATGACAAGGATGGTGTGTTATCAATATAACTAGCAGCATAATTAGTGGATATAGTATTTTGACAATTAGAAACTTCATGGACTTGAGGTAAAAAGTCTATTTTTTGAGTAATGTCATTAAACTGATAGAACTGTTCCTGATTAAAGTCATTTGGAAGAATGTTTTGTGCGGACGCGTCGTAAGTTAATAATGTATGGTTTTGTGAAGAGTTTACCATTTTACATAATTGTTGGTTTTGATTGTCTATAGACGGATTAAACCTATTTTCTTGAATTTGGATAGATGAAATTACGTCGACTCTCTTATGCTTCGGTTTTCGGCCGCGTCTTTTAGAAGAGTTAGTGAAAACACATTCAAATTTGCGCTTCACGCAATTTGTACAGGGAAAATGTAGAGAACATTTTATATGTTGCCTTTTACAGTTTGTACATGCTTTGGACACGTAAATACGCTCTTGAGAAAACATTATTTTAAATATTTTTTTTATATGAGGAAATCAATAGAGTGAACGCTTAAAATTTAAATAGAGTTAGATAGTCTTAACATATGGAAGTTTCAGCTAAAAAAGTTTAATTATTAAAATGTCTAAACTTTTTATCATAAATTCTATGAATTTTGAGAAAGCTTTATATAGAAATTTCGATTCTTACAAGATGGTAAGTTCGGATCGACAGCATTAACCCGAAAAACGCAGCAGATACGTATAATAAACCAGATATTTTTGCCTATGTTTCTATTTTTAAATTTAATTTTATATAAACTTACAAATATATCCACAACCGTTACGGTAATCTTAAAATAGGAATATACTTCTTTCGCCTGTGATACATACTATATATGAATAAATCAACATATTTAAAAGTAAAGAAAATGCGAAAAATAAACAGAAACAAGTTTCTAAACCAACTTTGAGGCACTAATTAAAAATGTCGGAAATGCAGTTTTCAATAAGGTCCGTTATTCTTTAAACATTGTTACTTATTCTAACTAATAACCTTGAATCTCTAATTCAAGTATTATCGTTATCCTTCTTTTTTTGGGCGAATAATTAAATTTACCGGGATCCACAAAGTAATCGATCGATATATCGGGTTGCGGCTTGTACATACGTTTAAATTAGAAACCTAGTAAATTTCTTAAAATAGAACGGTAACGTGGAAACAAAGACATGATTTATTATGTTAGTTTTCTAGAGTAATTGGTGGCTGAGTCTATGACGTACTATTTTCTGCAGTATTGACGTCATAACAGGCATATTACTAAGTTCAATTAGTGAGGTCGTACGACCTCAGTCATACCATATTGTCGCAAAATAACGGGCATGGCGTTATTTAGAGGTTTGGCCCGAATTAATATTAATTTAGGCTGAAATTTGTAATTACACCCCTGCGCGTTATTTCGCGAAAATACGGTATGACTTCACTAATTGAACTTAGTATTAGTAATATGACCTGTTATGACCTGGTCATGTGCCAACACTGATTTTCTGGGTTTACATAAGCATGTTATTATTACATCGGTGTATGGTTACTATGGTATTTTTAATAGTGTACGTACGTTATGAGGGGCAGAATCGATCCGAAATCTCTAAATATGGCCTCACGGATATCAACTAAACTAAAACTAATCCAAACAACGCACTCTATACCACTAACATCTATCGAACCCTAATAGTGGTAGGCACAAAAGAAGGCGTGGAAAGACTTGGTCCGAGTTATTAAGGCTATATAGAGCTCTAGACTACGTCACGAGGCTCTAATTCGGGGTCACGGGTTATAAGGTAGTTTATCGGGGAATTAGGAGAACGAATGTGTATGAATTATATACAAAGCGTTAACTTGCAATCGCTAGTTATTCCTTTATTCAAGGCAAACTCTTAGGCCTAATATAGATTTTTGCCTACAGTCTAATTCGCTAATTCCATCTGCTATTTCTAATATATCTAACATATCTAACAGATATAACAGATATAACATATCTAACGGATATAACATATCTAACATATACTGTATAACAGATCTAACAGATTCGTCAGATTTACCAGAAGATTCGACCTGAGCCACCTCAGCAACGATCTTAGCCTATAATAAGTCAATCCGCCGAATTTATATGCATCCGATTCCCGATAATAAAGAAAGTTTGGTTCAAGCCACAATTTACCCTTTCACAACGTACGTACGTCCGCAAAATATTATACCTGATTGTGACTACGTATACATTAAACACAGTATAAACGTGAATTATGCACTTAAACTTCACGATATCGCATTACATGGCACTAAACTTGTACGTATATTGTACGAGATCTGTCTAACTATATAAATGTCTAAACTTGTATCCTTCTTCGTATTAGCTAAAAAAAAATTAGAACATGGAATTAATATATATTAATGCTGTTGCGTGTGATTAAATGTGGCATGATTTTACAAAGCGAGATTTCCAAAATTTTTAATACTGTAATATGCAAATTTATTTTGCATTATATCTTTTAGGGCAGATTATGTACGTACGTACGTATGTAAATCTAATTCAGGGTTCGCCACTTTTTGTTTTTTATTGTTGCACCAAAAACCATGATATATTATACAAAAAAAAACAAAATACGGTCAGTGGCGACCGAATTATTAAAGTGTAAGAAGCTTATGCTATCTAGTGATGTGAGATGTAACTACAAATAGGTATCTACCACCGTTAGGTTAATAATTTGTAAGGGCAGATACCAATCTGTTAACTATACATACTAGAAACATTAATTGGTTGAAAAATATTTTATTATGGGTACAGTCAACCCTCTCTAATTGTAAACTTCCTAAGTACATATCATATATTAAGCTATATTATTTTATATTATCCTAACGAATTTCTAAATGCAATATTTTTTTAAGTTCACAGACTATGAAAGGTTGCATTAGAAAGGGTTCATTGATATAGCTTGTGATCTTTTGATAAAAATATATTTTATTACTAGTAAAGATAGCACAGGTCGAGTTTTAATATTTTATAAGGTTTCTGTAAGAATATCAGATGTTAAAAGCTGATGCTTCACTGATTTTTGACGCATATCTTTACATTCAAAAGAAATTGATTCCGATTATTATTATCGCTCGGTCAAATGACTTTATTTAAAGAAACTGAAGAACATACAGTATGGGATTCAGTTCGCTATCTTTAATGACCTTATATATCATCATAAATCCTAAATTTAGACCCCTAGATTCACGCTAAAAAGTCTTTTCTCATTCCTTCCTACCAACTAAGATCCCTAAATATATTCCATCTCAGCACAGTATATTTTCACACAAAGAAAGGCCCACAAGGAGAGAAACCCCATAGCTATAAAGAGAATTGGTCTGTAATAAACGTATTAATCAAAAGAGAGCAAGGGGTCTTTTCACCGTCGACACAGCCGCGGAGCCCCATCATCTTAGGTGGGTCCTTGCATTACTACTACATCCGTGGAGCCCAACCACCACAATTTAAGGTCCTTGCGCTGCCTACTGCAGCCGCGGAGCCGACAATACTTACCAGTATCGCTCTAGCCTTCACTAGTGTCATTACACTGTTCCAGATTATGTGAATTGGGTCGGTGAGGGTGGGTGAAAGAGCCGGCCTTCACTACAAGGCGAGCGATAGCGAAAAGAAAGATTTAATTCCTATACAGCTAAGCAATACTTAAATGTTTTCTTACGAATACTCGATAACATACTTCCAGATCATACTTAGCGCCATATGACTACTTCCTTACTTTTTTCTACTCATTCACTAACACTCACAACACGATCAATCATATGCCATCACAACAATAACCAGAAATAACCGGCATCTAACAAGAAATCCAGTATTTATTACAAAACAGCCATAAAAGGCTAAAGCATGAGTTTCATAAAGTCACCTGATCTCACAATAATGATCGCC